TGACTGAGTTTCCGGATAGAAATCAGCGAAATGAAGCTTCTTATAAAGGTTTTTAAGTATAAATATTAAATAAGGAGAGAGAAAAGACTCGATTGAACAGATCAATAAAGAAGAGACGTTCGTTAAGGGCGAAAATCTTGCAAATACAAATGGAATATAGAAAGCAATTTTTAAAGCAATTTTTTAAAAGTAAGAACTTTAATATAATACTCAATAAAATGAATGGAAATTAAGCCGTTTTCTTATAATTAAACATTCAGTATTTCTTAACCGAGCAGCCAATGCTGCCATCGCTTTAAATGTATAAAATCTTTTTCTATTAACCCCTTCCTTGACAATTATTTTTGAAAAAAAAAAATTTTTTTATTTGTTTTTAATATAGTAGCTTAGAAACTGAGGCACTTAGAAGTACCTGAGCGGTGGCTAACACCTCTACTAGATATATGAGTTGACAATTGAACTCGTTTCAAACTCAGAAGGGCATAAAAAGAATCAAGATCGACTTATAAACCCACCTTTTTGAACGTTATATTTTGGACGTGTTTATTCGTCCGTGTCTGTAAAATACACTTTCAGTAATAACGTATATACACGTCGACGCCGGGAATAGGGCTAAAACAATTTTTTCAGGAAAATATGTTTCTCAAGTCCACTAAGTTTTACGTACTCTTTTCACTTTTGATGGCAGATTCCTTCCTAACCTTTTGTTCAAAGTAGTGTGGAACGTCTACATCTTGATTATGTCATTATTTTCTATTGGAGATGTGTGTGCTATCCATTTTAGTTGTTTCTGTTGTTGAAAATCCTCAGAATATGTGGTTTCTGTTATTGGTAGAGTTCTTTGTATGTGATTGTGTAGCGCCAATTCACGAGGTTCAAAGAAGGATGGTCCTCTCTAAGACTCACAGGCTTGATTCTTTCGAAACCATTTTCAGTGATTGATCTGAGAAATCCGTTTTCTACAGCTGACAGTTTAGATATTTCTGAACGAATTTGGCGACATGCTGGGCAGACATATAAAAATCTCGATCTAACGAGGTTATTTTAAGGACATGAAGCAATATTAAATAATCTTTGTCGCCATATTTATCACAACGTTTCGGTTGTTGTACGCTCCGGCCTTCTTCAGTTGGTTGGAATTTAGAACTGAACCCTTTATTTTCCTCACTGGGGTAGACTGTTCTAGTTCCACGTGCCATGTTTGATGGATGTCAGTTATCAGTTATCTCCTGCTAATTTCCAACCACCTGAAGAAGGCCGGCGCGTACAACGGCCAAAACGTTGTGATAAATATGGCGACAAAGATGAAGACAATAGTCCGAATAATGTGAATAATGAAGTAGAATTGTGTCAAAGATTTAAAATTCTTATAAAGAACTAATAAAACATTTTAAAAAATCCAATTGTTTAATGTGTAGAATTCTGTGAATATATCAGAATGCCCTGGGCATGACGATAAACTACATCTGGCAGCAAGGCCTCTAATCTAGAGGTTATGTGGAGTGTGGGACCACCTCTTAATTGCTGTTGTTCCCAGATCCACTCTGACCTGAGGTGGTAGCACCTGTTAGGGTCCCAGTTATGGGCAAATAGTGAACACACAAAGTGAAGTCAACACATGTAGAAATATCTATTTATAGTGAATGTACCAGCAAGATGAGGTTTCAGAATATGTGGTTTCTGTTATTGGTAGAGTTCTCTGTATGTGATTGTGTAGCGCCAATTCACGAGGTTCAAAGAAGGATGGCCCTCTCTAAGACTCACAGGCTTGATTCTTTCGAAATCATTTTCAGTGATTGATCTGAGAAATCCGTTTTCTACAGCTGACAGTTTAGATATTTCTGAACGAATTTGGCGACATGCTGGGCAGACATATAAAAATTTCGATCTAACGAGGCTATTTTAAGGACATGACTCGAATTAAAAAGTAGAATATTATAAAATTATCAAATTATAATAAAACCTATAAAAAATATTAAAACACAGGAGAGGAAAGTGAATACTTCATAATGTATACTGCTCACAAAGGGTGAGCGCATGAGTCCGTACTACATACTGTTCCTGGCTCTTCAGTTTTGTAGTACTTCTAATAGATGAAATGAAATTGCCATTATTTTATCGTGTGTTGACTTGCATTCTGACCTAAATATATTTGCGTCAGGAGAATGTTGGAGGCGGAAGGTGGGGCGTCTTGACATGGGGAGGGGCTCAGGTACAGGCATGCGAGCGAACACACGTGCCACCCTCATGGTAGATAGTGTCAGAATGATAAGCACACCCCACTCAGCACTGCCTTCCCAATGATCAATGTCAGCTAAAGCTCGTAATACCATAATAATTCACCCTTCCTTGCCCCATACTTAACTCCAAACAAACACAATGCCAACAGAGATATAAACAGTTATTTTGCTGATGCAAAAGTTCCCAGCATTTCTCGACAAAATCTTTTATTTATATAAATTCAAAATATTATTGTTCATTCCTTAAAATACAGGGTCTCCCTGATATAATTTAAGATTTGAATTTCGTAGGAGATGGACTACCAACTTGACATGTTACCAGTAGTGCGCATATAAAACATTTATGAAGCTTTGTGAAAATGCTTATAAAATCTATATCCCTTTGAATATCTTGTTTGAATTTTGATTATTCAACATGAAGACTATTTAATTTCGTTGGCCTGGGACATGGGGTTACTTAGATATTCACATTTTAAATGATGTCAGTTTTTTTTTTGTGGGGATGTAGGGACATTATTATTATTACAAATAAATAAATAAATAAAATACTACTACTACTACTACTAATAATAATAATAATGATAATAATAATAAGCCAACAAATTCAAAATGGAGTTTCAAATGGGCGTAGAGATGCAACTACAGCACAATACACCGGCTGAAACTGCAAAATACCTAAAAATGACAGCAAAGACGAATGCAACAGATCAGATACAGAAGCGATTGCAAGATAAACCGCTTCATGGCCAATACTCTGCCCGTACCAAACAAGCTGACGTAGACAAAACCCGTACCCATCAGTGGCTACGTAGTGCAGGGTTGAAACTGAAACTGAAGGTTTTATCCTTGCTGCACCGGACCAATGCTTGCTAACTAGGAATTATCAAGCACATATACTAAAATATTGTGTCAGCCCAAAATGCAGATTCTGTGATAAGTATCCAGAAACGATTGATCATCTTTTATCAGATTGCACGATATTGACACCCACTGAATATAAAACCCGGCATGACAGAGTGGGTCAATATCTGCACTGGAAAATCTGCAACTTCTACGGGAAGGAAACTGAAAGAAACTGGTATGAACACCACCCAGACACGGTTACGGAGATTGAACCTGTTACAATTCTATGGGATTACACAATGCACACTGACAGAACAATCAAGGCCAATCGACCAGATATTGTTATTAAAGACCACAAACAAAAACGGTGCCTCCTTTTTGACATGGCAGTCCCTGCTGACTGCAATGTATCTTTGAAGATATTCAAAAAGTTGTCAAAATACAAATGTGGCATATGGGAACATCAACAATCCCTGTTGTAGTTGGAGCCCTAGGACTGGTTGGAAAAGATTGCAGTAGACTAATTGATGGGATTCCTGGAAGTCCATGCCTCAAGTAGATACAAAAAATTGTTCTGACAAGTACAGCCCACACTTTACGAAGGGCTTTATCTATGTAATTTAATTTTTTTTTTTTTTTTTTGTCAGTGGAAAGTGTCATGACGCCATTTCTAACCTTAGGTCGCAGGGCGGGATTCGGAAAGAAATGTGTAAACGCCAGAAATCAAAGAAAATAATAATAATAATAATAATAATAATGAAAATTATAAATAAAATAGAAATGAAAGGTGTAAGTAATTTGTGAAAAATATAGAACAAGACAATGCAAAAATACAGGTGTCCACCTCCCTCCCCCCCCAAAAATTTGACATTGTTTTGTAGTCTAATAACAGACAATTCTCGCTCAAATGATCTCAAATTTTAACAAAATCTACCAGGAAGATGGATCAGGTGCGCCAGTGACAATGACAATGTGTTCTTGAAATGGCCACCATGTTCACCTGACTTGACACCTTGTGATTTTTTTCTCTATAGG